AGGTTGTCTTCAGAGCCTCACCCTGAAGGAAGAAAGTCTGTGAAGTTTCTGGCCCTGGCATGAAGCTGCAGAATCTTGGTGAATCAAGCAACTTCTCCAAACCTCAAAGAAGGCACTTTGAAAATTGTGAAGCACTAATTGAAGGAGAGAAGAGTGTCAAGGATTCCATCTTCCACTTACTAGTAGTTGTCTTATTTAGTTGGGACTACCAACCCCCAGATAGCCTTCATCCCTGGAAACGTGCCTGAGATGCATGTCTCTTCACATGCTTGGGCCTTACAGAATGTGCCAGAAGCCGGGGTTAAACAGTGTCAGCTGGATGAACACATTTCAGTAGCGAAGGCTGTTGGAAACTACCACTGTGTTACATTTCACTTTAAACTCCTCACCTTGAAGTGAAGCTAAGCCAGGCCAGAGAATTGAATGGATTTGCCCTTGGTCACAGTATGAGGTGGTGGAGTAAGCGGAAGGAGAATGTGGTATGTGTTACAGGCTGTCAGTATTTGCCAGACTATGGTCTTTTAAAAAATATATACATACATTGCACAAAGAGTTTGGCATTATAAAAAGAATCTTTTAAGTACCACAGTCTTTTATCCAGAACATTATTAAGAACTTTTTATTAAAAATTAAGATGCCTCAGAAACCATATAAAATTTTAACAGGCTCTACCTTTCTACTTCGCCTTTTCCAGGGCACCTCAGGAGAGGTGGTGGAATTCTCGAACAGTTGGAGAGCTCTGCGAGGAACATTCTGCTTTGCCAATTTGTCCCTGTATTGGCCCAGGGCAGCCATTTACCACCTTGTTTTTGGTTATTTCAGCTGCTGCTAGGCATTCTCCTTCAAACACACCTGCATTGCTGTGTGGACACTGCCCCACAGGCAGAACGCAGTGTGTTTCTCAGAGCTGCGGACTGTGGGCTGTGGGCTCCCACAGCCCTTTGTGTGTGAGCCCATGGTCACTCACCGAGCTCTTCTGAACTTCCCTGGTTTCCTCTGACTTCTCTTCTGGACTGGGAACTTAGGTACAGGACCGGCCTCATATGTATTCATCAGCGCAGGTCCCTTTGTTCAACTCAAATGAGTGCCACATGGGGTTTCTTCTTTCTGTGGGCCTCAATCCCTTCTGTGCTCGTCTTTTAAACTAATCTGCTCACATGGGGAGAGCCTTTCAAAATGTTTCCTAAATGTACCTTTTTTTATTTTCAAGAGACCCTATGCCATTCTAGGGTGCTGTAATTTGACAAATAAATCCTTGTCCCACTTTCCCCTGCCCTGGTTTCTCACCTGCATCCTGGCCTTTCGTTCACCTGCCGTCTTTCAAAGTGGAGAGTGCTCACCCTTCAGCCTCCTATTCACTGCAGTCCCCCAAATTCCCTTCTCTTGGGTGGTCTCCTTTATCACTTTCATATTTCTCTAATTCTAATAGCAAGACTTCAGGCCCAGCTTGAGAAAGCATGCATTTTCCTTCGTGTTCGTACAGTCCGTTGGACATCCTTACCATCAGCCCTTGTTGGTTGAAAGACCTGAAAACTCTCAACTGGCCATTTCCTGAGGTTCTCTTTTCTGTTCATGGAGAAGCAACTGAAGCCCTTTAGTCTGGGTACAGTCAGGAATTTTCTGGATTGCTGCCATTATTCTTTTATTCAGTAAACATTTGCTGAGTCCCTTCCATATAAAAGTCAGTATCCCAGGGTCTGGGGATACAAGAACATGACCAAGGCCCTGCCTAAAGGGGCTTGCAGGCTGGTATGTGAGACACAGTGACACATATTGTCTTCTATTGGATACCAGCGCAATAGGTTGGAGTGGGAGCAGGATGTATGGGATGCTCTGCCCCATGACAGAGGATGGACCACCTCATTCAGTAAGGGAAGGGGTGTCAGGGAAAGCTGTCACCAAAAATCCCTAGTTGAACTGAGCTGTGAAGCATGATGAGTCATTCGCCAAAGTCAGCCAGGGCATTCCTGGTGGAGGCAGCCACATAGGCAAAGGCTCAGAAGTGTGCAAGGGGGTTGGCTATGTCCATTCTTTTTATGAATGTTGTCAAAGCTTCAGTAAAATTGCCCCTGTGCGTTGCTTGTCTGCCCTGCAGGCAGAATGAGCTGTGAGTGGGTTATCAGGAAAGGTCAAAGACTGCATGGCTGGTGCGAGGGGCTGCGGGGCTGGGCCAGGGAAGGGGGAGGGAAGCGTGAGTCACTTGAAAGTTTTGTGTGCTGAGACATGGCTCTTAAAGGAGTCCTGGGGTTTTTGCAGAGGAGAAAGTGCTTAAAGGCAGATTATGCAGCCAACAGTGAGCCAGTAAATGGTTTCACTGGGGCCTATATTGGGACATTTTGGCAACCTTCTTTATTGGGTCTGGGGTTCTCTGGCTATCAGATACCTTTCTCTTCCCTCCTTGTGAATTCCCATGAGGGGTTTAGGGTAAAAATGTGGAGCTTTTAAGCATCTTAATGTGATTTCAATTGCATTTTAATTTTTAATAAAATGTTGAATAAAGTTCTGCTCAAAGAGCCACAGGGATGAGAAGATTCTATTTAATAGGAAGCCCAGTATTTTCATACTGGGAGATAGATGGGTTTAACAAGACCCTGGTACATCTCTTTAGAGTAAATGCAATAAATGGTTCTGTTGGAATGGGAAAGAAGGGAGGTGCATACATACATGCATATATCTTATTTTTCTGTATAGCCAGTAATTCCACTCTTTGGAAGTAACCGCCGAGCTTTTGGCATCTTTGACTAATACCCTTCTCATATGATAGTTACACTGCTCCAAAGACGGTACAGACATCTGAGCCAAACATTTTTCTGTTTCGTTTGCAAGAAATGGAACTGACAGATATACCTGTCTATTTTGTTTCCAAGAAAATGTCTTGTTAGAAATGTGTGAAAATATATTATATGACAGTTGCTGAAAATGTTTCAGATGCAGCAATAAACTGATTGTGGTTTTTGGACCAGATGTGCACCATGTTTAGAATTTATTGTACTTCTCTGTATTCTAGCCCAGTGCTTAAGTAAATAGAGAGAAGTGCTTCGCTTTTCAGTGAGACTTCTTATGTGGATGAATGGCATTTTCCTCCATTTCATGATGGGAAATGATAGGAATCATGCAAATTGGAAAGAGTCGCTCACCTCACACCCATTGTGTAGCTGAGAAGACTCAAACTAAGGGCCTGCTGTTTTTGTCCTGACGCCTGAGGTTAAGGAGAAGACTTAGCCTGCAAACGCCTATAGCTTAACTGTGCCGTGTTTTCTGACTCACTTAGAAACTAAAGAAATGCACTTAATGTCTGATTGTAGTATTTTCAGTCCCTGCCTTTTGATCTGATGCATTGTAGAATCTAGTCAGAACTCGGTTGATTAAAAAGGCAGGAGACTTTTTCATGCTTACCCCTGTGAGACTCCAGGCAGCCTTTGCCAAAGGTGTTAGACATTTGTTTTTCTATGTGTGCTCAGTAAAATGGCTTCTAAGTGTAGAAATGATCTGCGTGTTGTGATTGATCTGCTTTTTTATGCTATCTGATGTTCCATTTCACTTCTAGAGGCACGTTGATCTTAAATAGTGAAAGATTTGTCTCATTTCCTTGCCAAGGAGGATTGTGTTTCCAGCTTTTTGTTAATTCTGGGCATTTCAACCATTGCTGCTGGTAACATCCTGCTTTACTGTGCTAGGCATTCCTTGGACCCAGGACTGAGGTAAGACGTGGTCCTGCTCTCAGGGAAGCAGTAGGATAGTTCATGAAGGGCATGAAGTCCAGGTGCTTCACACGGGAGACCTCGTTTAATGCTCACAGGAACGTTAGATTTTGCGAGGGGTGAGGGTGTTAATTTCTTTATTTAAAACAAACTAAAACCAGGCATCTTGTAGCTCAGATATCAGGATCCAGAACTATTAGCTGCTTGACTACAGAGCTCATTCCCTCCCTCCAGCTCACTGCTTGACTGGTTGGATAGTCAAGACATAACAATGAACATAAGGCTAGAAACGTTTGGAATAAAGGCTAACATAGGCACCAGAGCATTAAAATACATTGTGGGTTAGAGAAGGGTCATTGTGTACATGTAGTCAGTGAAGGAAGGCTTTGTGGATGAGACCTGAGCTGTGTTTGGAAGCCTGAAGATGAGGACAGAAATCACAGGCATGAAGGCACCAAGGAGGACGAGCTTGCAGGGTTGACCAGACTGCCAGGGTGCAGACGTGGAGAGCTGGGGAGAGGGGAATAGGAAAGAAGGGGAAGATGGAGGGCAGGCTGTTTAGAGTTCCATGAGAAACTCTGTGTGTGTGTGTGTGTGTGTCACATGTATGTCAGGAGGGTTTACAATGTGAAGGAAGCATGCCATTTAACTAAAAATCAAAATGTTTGGGGGATATACGATGCTGAAATTTCCCATTGTAGTCAGAAAAAGTGGTGTTTTAATAATGAGGAGAATGTCATGTTTCTTTTCTTATCAGATAATAAAATAAGTCAACTTCTTTGCTGAGTTGTAAGTGGCTGAGTTGTTGGTAAAGTGAACAAATTCCCTTTGAGTTTCTTTGATAAAAGGAGGCAACGGGGAGGGGAGATGGGGCAGGTAAAGGAGGACCGGTGTGCAGACCAACACAGCCCCGCTGTTTGTCTGATTATCTGAAAGTGCTTGGAAACTAGGAGGCAGATAAAAACATATTAAGAAAAGAGAAAATCCAGAGGAAAAACCTGGGGAGCCCGGGGAGCATGCAGCGTGACTCTAAACTGGGATTTGGGATGGGGTTATCTTTTTTCTCAGAGTACAGCTTTTTACACATTTCCAACAAATATTCACTTATGCTACCAGGGACGGTAGCATAAAGTGTGAAGGGATGAAATATAGTTTCCTTGCTTTTTTCCTTTTTGCTTATAGGGAGATACCTAGCAACATTTAATACCATTTAAAAAAACACTTATAGAAATTAACAACCTGTGATTTTATAATGGAGCAGAAAAAGAAAACTCTAAGACGGAGTGAGTGACTTAGGAATCCCTGTGTAGCCGTCACAGATGCCTGTCTATTGATAGGAACCCAGTTTCAAACATAGAATTTAAATTTAAGAGAAAGATGCACACCAAATTCACGCCTGATTTTTCTGGTGGCTTGAAAGGAAGTAATGGAGTTTTAAAAAATGTGTGAACAATTGAGATGAAATGCTCAATGTGTATACAATCATTTACGTGGCAGGCAATGCACTGCATGCTGGAGCTAAAAGAGAAAGGCCAGGGGCTTTCAATCTATTGAGGGAGGCAGATAAAAGAGTAATACAAAGTGATTGGTGCTACAATATGCAACAAGAGGTGGGAATGTTAAAAAGGATTGATTTACTAAGACTGGAAAAATCCGAGAAGGCATTATGGAGAAGATTTGAGTGGGTTTTGCAGTATAGATAAGAGTTCAGATGGAGGAGAGAGAAGTGAAATGAAGGAGAATGGCAAGGGGCGTTGTAAGTGGAAAGACATACAAGGAAAAACTCAGGCATGTTAAAGTTTACCCTCTACTTGGGGAACAAACCATAGGCCCCCTTTTCAGATTCCCTGAAACTACTATTTCCCTAAACCAGATTGGGAAATGCCACTGTCACTTTGAAGAACCACTGAGTTGTTTTTTGTTTTTTGTTTGTTTATTTGTTTTTTGGTAGGAGAGGGGTTTAATCTGGACTGGATTTGGAGGAAAGGAACTGGCACCAGAGTGGAGGCTGGATGGATGGTGGAACTGACACTGGGACAGAACACAGAAAACAGAATCTAATGCTAGTAAAATCTTTGTTATAGAACTTAACTTTGTGTTGTAATCCCTGTCTCCTCCACTGGCCTACAATGCAAGTTTCTTGCCTTAGTCATCTTTGCATCTCTGTGCCCAACACAGTAGGTGTATTAGTCCGTTTTCATGCTGCTGATACAGAAATACCCAAGGCTGTGAAATTTACAAAAGAAAGAGTTTTATTGGACTTACAGTTCCACATGGCTGGGGAGGCCTCACAGTCATGGCGGAAGGTGAAAGGCACATCTCACATGGTGACAGACAAGAGAAGAACTTGTACAGGGAAACACCTCTTTTTAAAACTATCAGATCTCGTGAGACTTATTCACTATCACAAGAACAGCACACTGGTCCCTCCCACAACATGTGGGAATTCAAGATGAGATGTGGGTAGGACACAGCCAAACCTTACCAGTAGGTTCTTAATAAATCTCTGTTGAATGAATCAGGGGAAGAATGAGCTATTATAGTTTTTGGTTAAGAGATTGCGATGCAGGTATAAGCCTTTGTGGGAATCTTGGAAAAGGTAATATTTTGGGGGGTTAGAAAATAAGAAAAAGTAAATATCTTAATCAGGTTTAGACACAGCTCTCACTTTTGATATTGACTCTGATAAAGCAGTATGGTTAATTTCTTTGTTAAAGTGCTATTTCATGAGGATGTATTTTCTATAAATCACTGATGAGTTCTTTTGTCCACATTGAAATCTTATTCATATGAGACAGTGAAATGTATAAGGAAAAGTACTATTTAATATATTTAAAAAGATGGAGAAGTGAATTAACAATGATAAATTATGAGCCTTTTTGTGTGGACTGACAGTTATTTTAGCAAGTAAAGGAAACATTTTCTTAATGCTTATCACAGTAGATGTGAGACAAAAAGAAGACAAATCTCCATTTACAATTTTTTTCTTCCAAAACTTCACAATGCAAGATTTACTCTAAAGCCACAACTTAAAGAAAACTAGATGAATGTTTCAGCATGCATTATCACCGTTATCACGTTTAAAATGGCAGAAGCATAGTGCCACCAACTCTGCTTTTGAAAGATGGAGGTACCCCAACTTCAGCTTGACCAACATCAGCTAGACAAAACGGAGAGTGAGACCAAAACCAAACTTTGTGAGGCCCAAGGGTCCCAAAGCAGTGTGTTGGGGCAATGTTTTGAAATATCAGCTGAGGTTTTTCTAGTATTTACTGGGGTCCCTTGGTTCTTCCATTCAGTAAACTAGGTCAGTCTGGCTTCATTGTCTTAGGGAAGGTCTGTCATAGAGCAAGTGTAGAAAAAGAAGTAAAGTATTGCCTTTTGAATTCCAAAAGCCTAGGTCCCTCTAGAAAGTGAAGAACCTGGTACAGATGAGCTAAAATAACTGAGCTGTGAGGGCCGGTTATCCACCCCAAAGCGGGTAAAGATTCCTTGGTGTCAAGAAGCATCAGGGAGTTGTGGGAACATATTTGGAAGTGTCTATGTGGATCATCTCTGAGAAAGAGGACTGGTGCTCAGTCTCTACCCAGACTGAACCCTGGGAAGTACGATTCCAGAACCCCCAATAGAATTGTGGGAGCTGTGTTTACCCAGGGCCTGGGCCTCAGTTTCTGGGTAGTGCTCAAAGAAGACATGGTTGTACAGCGATGAAGGGCCTTCAATCGTACCAGTTTCCATGGGAAGAATGATTCTTTGAGCCAAGTAGATGGGCTTTCGAATAGCCCCACAGTTTCTCACACCCCAGCATGGTGTGGAGTGGTGAGTGAATTACTGGGCACCAGAGAGGAGTGCAAGGAGAAAGAAGAGCAGAGGCAAAGGTGGGAACATGGACTGGGCAGCAGTGAACTTACTGCATGGTAGCCAGGACCAGGTGGGCCCCGGGGCATCAAAGCAGATGCCACTGTGCTCAGCTCAAGATGACTGAGGACCCAATGTCCGCCACCCCATCCCTGCCTACTTAGCCCTGCTCAACCCCTAGAATCCCCATGTGGCTGAGATTAGGCTTCTGCTACCAAGTCACAGGCATGGGCTCTCAAAATAGAAATTCAGCTGTGGTATGGAAAAATAAAGTTATATTTCTTGGACACATGAATCTGGGGACTGAGATTCAAGCCTACCCTTTGTATAACAAAGATAACTTTCATTTGATGAAATCTGGCTAAGAATGGGCACTTCTCTGTCCTGCGTAGATCAGTATGCCCTGAACCTCAGGCAAATACAGAGACGGGTTTGTTGAAAAAAGACACAAAAATCTCTCAGAAACCAAGCAGAAGAGTAAAGCAGGGTCTGAGGGGATTCTTGGAAAGTTAAAAATGACCTTCCTTCTCTGTCGTAACGGGCTACGTGGGCGCTTTGATTTTTCCCTGTGTGCCTTGCCTGTCCCTCTTCATTCTAGAGTCTTCTGCCACCCCAGCCTGCGCAGAGACTGTGATGGCCTTGCCCCAGGCCTCACACCTGTTCAGTTCTAGCAGTGACCTCATAGATAGAGGAAACTCTTTTGTGTCTCTCAGGTCAGTGTCCAACTAACCAGAATCTGATTGGCTCCCTGTGGTCAAGTGTTTACTCCTGTCCAATCACTGGCTGGAGTGTTTTGGTGCTGAGTCACAAACCACATTCTGAGCAGTCAGGGCAGGGCTGCCATGTTGCACAACTGCAGGGTGTGCCTGCCAAACAATACTCTGGGAGCGGCTCCCCTGGATATGTGTGGTGCTCATCCTGCATGGTGAGAGGCAGTGATCCTGACTAAAAGTCCTGCTCTCCTGCTTAGCAAATGTCATAAAATGGTGGAACATAGTGTTGTTGCTGTTTGAATTGAGTGAACATCTTCCTAACATATGTTGAGTGGCCATATGAATGCATGGAGCGGGACTAGGAGAGCTGACCTTGGCATACTGAATGTTCATGGTGAGCAGATGAGGCTGCCTACTCGGATGGTTCCCTGTTTAGCACTGTGGTTTGGCGAGCAAGCTTTGGTGTTCAACACACCTGTGTTGACATCCCAACTCTGTCTCTGAAAATGTGACATTGCTCAAGTTACTTGATTTCTCTGTCTCAGTGTCTTTATCAATAAAGTGGGAATGAAAATTTCTACAGGAATTCTCAAAAGGAGTCATTTAAAGAACTTAGGCCAGTTTCTGATGCTTCGTAAGTGCCCAATAAGTGTCTGATGTGACTTATGTCATTATTATCTCTAATAATTCTATTATTAGTGAATTATTTCACTAAATAATTTTTTCCATTAGTTTATTTCGCTAATTATTTCACTAATTAATTTTCATTCTATTAGTGAAATAATTCACTAATTCACTAATGTATCACCAATACTAGAATTATTAAAATTATAGTGAATTAATAGAATTATTAGTGATATATTAATATAATAGATTAGTAATATATTAGTATAATAGAATTATTAATGATATATTAATAATAATGTAATTATTAATGATATGTTACTGAATTATTATTAGTGAACAATTATTAGTGACTTAGTGATTATTAGTGGATTATTAGTAATATTTTAGTGAATATTAGTGAATTGTAATACAATTAATAATTCTATTATTAGTGATAGTAAACAAGATGCATTTTACGGTCTTAAAATGTTAATGACCCATTATATGAAAGGCATTTATTTATCTGCATTTAAGATACTGTATGTTTCGTTAAGATCCTTGTAATTAAAATTAAAATCAGAATCACAATATTATACCAACATTGATACAAGTAATAACAACAACAATGATGATGATGATTAAAAACCTGGATAAAATTTTGTCTCAGGCTTAGTGTGCTTTGGGTATGCATGTATTTATCATATTTGATTTTGATTTTATTTTAAAAATTTTGTCTTGACTTTTTTTCTTAGCATCTTGACCCTTTTGTGACATCTAGCAGGATGTATTTTTTTTCAAGATACATGTTTCACAAACAAAATATATGTTTATATCTGACTGTACCCAAGCTGCTAATTATGGGCATCTCTTTCTATAGCTCACTATTAATCACTCATGTCATTTGGGGTTATATAGAAAACAATTTATGTTACCAAATCAAATCCTCCCTTAAAAATGTTTGCCCTGGAAGTGAGGCAGGAGGAAATCACAAACTGTTATTATTTTCCCTTAGATGGATCTAAATATTAACATTCTCTTAGCTTTAAAGATTATTTTTATGCCACTCCTTTATAAACAATTGAAGTTCACTAACTCTTCTGTTGTCTCGGGTTCTGTCTACAGCATACCCAAACAACTCAGCTAAAAAAATGGGCAATCAGTTCAACAGGTTATTTGGCCTTATGTGCAGAAAATAAAAATGTTTGAATAGCTTAAAACATGTTAAAAAGCATAGCGTATAGTAAACTCAGTTGAATGTTTAAACGTAGGCTAAGTATCTCTCACACAGAGGAGGGAGTTGCCATTTCTAGATCTCATTGCAACTGTATTAACTACCCAACTACCAGGGCAACAACCAGCAGCCACAGTGGCAGTAGAAGTAATAGTAGTAGTTATAGCAGGAGGAGGAGGAGGGAGAATAAACTATTAATAGTATGAACAACAGTAGTAGTTGTAGTGATTGTTGTAATAGTAATAGTTAACACTATATGTACACATTGTTTTAGGTACTTCATGTACAGTAACTCGTTTAATCTTTACAGCAACCTTAAGAGATAGTACTATTATTTCTCCATTTTACAGAAAAGGAGACTAAAATTCCAAGAGGTAAAGTCATTAGTGGAGGAACCAAGATTTGGAAAACAGTGATAATGGCTGATATAGATCAAATATTCGTGCTTCTCAGCTACTGACATGATTACCCCATTGAACCTTCACAGTGAGCCCAGGAGGTGGATTTCTTATCCCCGTTTAACACAGAGGGAAACTGAAGCTTGGATGCCCACCCGATGAAATGGCAGACTGGGTCTGAAACCAAGGGTCCAAAGCCAGAAGTCCAATCTTGCTTTCAGTTTGATGGTATCTTGCAGATTCCACTTGGACTGGTTTGT